GCTAAATTTGAGACGAACCCTAAATGACGTATCGGTGCCGCCATTTGGAAATGGACGTTACGTCTGATTTCAACGTAAGTCAATCAGAAAATGTAATTTTAACATTTTGACCCTATTACTGACATAAAAAAACCATGTCTACAGATATTGACTTCAATGTTAGCGTTACATTATTTTTAATTGATTTTCCTGTTGTATTTAATAAAAATGGAATATTTTTAATTTGATGGGACAAACTATAATTATATTATCATACATACTAGGTATATCACAATGTTTAAATATATTAAGCATTTATCGGTTGTAAATGTAACGTGTGTTGTAAGAATTCTGTTCATTTGCTATGATTTGTATTGTAGACATTTGAGTCTGCTATATCTGAGTATCTACAAAATGCAAATTTTGAATCGAGCATCAATTCGCCACATTCGACTATCCTCAAGTCATCTAGTTCTATTTATGTTATTTCAAACTTTAACATAGACGTTTTTGATACAATATAACGAAATCAACTATTAGCACATATATTAACACATGTATTTGACAAATGAAAAATTAAGTTATTTTTTATATTATGATAATTATAAAAAATTATAAGTGTAACCGTATTCAAGATTCATGTTATTTTTCTTAACAATACATGTAAATCGATTTATATTCAGATGTACCTGAACTACAGGAACATCCAAGCGTAGAAACTGAATGTTCTGGTAAAGTAATAATTAACATTTTGCCATAAATGTTTACGAATTTATATTATACTTTATAACAATAAACGTTAATTAATGTGACACATTATAATTTCTCTCAATATTTTTTCGAATTAAGAATATCGTTCAAGAGTTAAATAGAACAAGGTATAATTTTTGTATTTTAGACTGGTATAATAATTATGTAACTATATATTATTACAAATAACCATAACGTCACTTGAAATATTTGCCTTCTTTACATTATAACGAAACCAACTATTAGCACATATATTAACACATGTATTTGACAAATGAAAAATCAAGTTAATTTTTTATATAATGATAATAATAATTTTTTTTTAGTGTAACCGTATTCAAGATTCATGTTATTTTTCTTAACAATACAGTCATGTAAGTCGATTTATAGTCCGATTTACCTGAACTACAGGAACATCCAAGCGTAGAAACTGAATGATCTGGTTAAGTAATAATTTACATTTTGCCATAATGTTTACGAATTTATATTATACTTTATAACAATAAACATTAACTAATGTGACACACTGGAATTTCTCTCAATATTTTGTCGAGTTAAGAATATCGTTCAAGAGTTGAATAGAATAAGGTATAATTTTTGTATTTTAGACTGGTATAATATTTATGTAACTATATATTCTTACAAATAACCATAACGTCACTTAGAATATTTGCCTTCTATACAATATAACGAAATCAACTATTAGCACATATATTAACCCATGTATTTGACAAATGAAAAATGAACGTTTTGTGTTTTTCTCACGTGTAACAAATCATATTACGAGAAACACTGCAGAATATCGTTATCAAAACTATTAATATTTGACTTAGGACTGACTATATGTTCTAACTTCCGCAGGGCCAGGAATCGAAACTGCGTCGTATCTAACAATATTGGTTCATGTGCCGCCACCTGTGTACGAAGAAGGTATATTTTTCATTTATTACTCTTTTTTGAAAAACTTTAACATGAATCTGTACGATGCATTGAACTCCTTCCTTCAGTTTATGTCGAAAATAATGTCGATGAAATAGCTCATTGAAGTAAACAAACAAATTTGATAAATTGACATAACACATTTTTATTGATATGAAAAACTATAAAAAGGATTGAAAACACATTTGTTAATTTTTATATAATGATAATTTTAAAAAAATTATTAGTGTAACCGTATTCAAAATTCATGTTATTTTTCTTAACAATACATGTAAATCGATTTATATTCAGATTTACCTGAACTACAGGAACATCCAAACGTAGAAATTGAATGTTCTGGTAAAGTAATAATTTACATTTTGCAATTGATGTTTACGAATTTATATTATACTTTATAACAATAAACATTAACTAATGTGACACACTGGAATTTCTCTCAAAAGTTTTTTCGAATTAAAAATATCATTCAAGAGTTAAATAGAATAACGTATATTTTTTGTATTTTAGACTGGTATTATATTTATGTACCTATATATTATTACAAATAACTATAACGTCACTTGAAATATTTGCCGTCATTTATACCAAAAGTGAAGACCATTAAGTCATGAAAAAAAATATAGTAAACATATTATTTATTCTCGAGATGATAATTATTTATAAAAAATTATTCATTATGGTAGCTACGGATGAATGAAGATATACAACACGCAATACATATTTCTTTATCCTCACATAATACAGATACTTTCTCAGACGAAAATGCAATGCTGATGAGAATTGTTTTGATTCAATCGCGGTATAACACTTTGATTTATAATGGTATGTCGTGTTTTTGGAAAAGGTTGAATAAGCATAATCTTTATCATAAATTTATCTTGAACATAACTTGCAACAAATGTATTTGTTTTGCTATTTCTTTATCCTTAGATAATACAGACACTTACTCAGACGAAAATGCAGATTATACAGATACTAGCTCAGACGAAATTGCAGATTATACAGATATTAGCTCAGACGAAAATGAAATACGTATGACAAGAGAGTCGATTGCACCGCAGAATGCTACTTTGATTCATAAAGGTATGTCGTTTTTGGGAAGTTCTTTAATATGGTAGCTAAGTACGAAGGAAGATATACAACACGCATTACATATTTCTTTATCCTTAGATAATACAGATACTAGCTCAGACGAAAATACTACTTTGATTTCTAAAGGTATGTCTTTTTTGGGAAAGTTTGAATAAGCATGATTTATATCATGAATTTATCTTGAACATAATTTGCAACAAATTTATTTATTTTTCTAAGCACAACATACCTAATGTTATTTTAAGGTAATTCCGCATGAAATTTGTATGAATATGAAGATACTCAAAATCAGCTGTCATCAATCGCACATAACATGAACTTTATTACATTGAACTTTAATCTTTTTCTTAAACTATCAGTGATTCTTTCTTAATTTTGATTTTTTTTAAACATTTTTGTTGATCTGGAGGCACGTAATTTTAAACCCAAATATAAATATCTCGAAAATAGTGCAAGGAGCAGCATAAAAACACAGTGTGCGATATTCTGAATTTAGAACATACTGTCCTAATATTGAAGAATATTTCGATAGGCTAACATAATTGTCATCAACATTCCTTAGATCAAACTATGTGTTCTTTCTTTTGTTTTTTGTTACATTAATTATGTAGCTTATAAGTTTATTAGTATTTTATGAATATACACAGTAAAATACAAATAAAATACGTTTTCAAGATTTATAAGAGACTTGAAATTTTCATTTACATTTTGTATGTGCTTCCTAAGGGATACCGCCAATGGCTTGAGAAATGGCTATTCCTTTTGCTCTGACAAATCTGAGCATTAGTTTCAGCCGTAACAAAATTATAGAGACCTTCCGACAATATAAGACTAATATACTGATGTTGTAACATAAAGTTATAACGACTTATACATGAGGCATTTATAAGAAAAGAATAAATGGTTTATTTATACCCCCGCACAACAAAGTTGTAAGGGGGGTATACTGGAATCAGCTTGTCCGGCTGTCCGGCCGTCCGGCTGTCCGTCGGTTTTTTCTTGTCCGCCCAATAACTTAAGATTCCTTTGACCCTTAGTCTTCATATTTGGCAGGGAGGTTAGTCATGATTAGTAGATGACCCCTATTGATTTTGAGGTCACTAGGTCAAAGGTCAAGGTCACAGGGGCATTGACTTCAAAAAGCTTGGCCGCCCAATAACTTAAGATTCCTTTGACCTACAGTCTTCATATTTGGCATGGAGGTTAGTCATGATTAGTAGATGACCCCTATTGATTTTGAGGTCACCAGGTAAAAGGTCAAGGTCACAGGGACTTTGACTTCAAAAAGTTTGTCTGCCCAATAACTTAAGATTCCTTTGACCCACAGTCTTCATATTTGGCATGGATGTTGATCGTGATTAGTAGATGACCCCTATTGATTTTGAGGTCACTGGATCAAAGGTCAAGGTCATAGCGACTTTGACTTCAAAAAGTTTGTCCACCCATTAACTTAAGATTCCTTTGACCCACAGTCTTCATATTTGGTATTGATGTTGATCATGACTATAAGGTGACCCCTATTGATTTTGAAGTCACTGGGTCAAAGGTCAAGGTCACAGGGACCTTGACAAAAAAAAGTTTTCTTCTCAATTGCTAAAGAATGTCCTGTCGGCAATGTATTGACATTTTCACATTTGAAGCATGTAGAATACATAACTTAGCAATGCACTGGCTTAGTAACCTCAGATTTGGCAGGGAGGTTGTCCTTGAGCTCTAAATGGCCACTGTTGATTCTGACAAAGTGGTATGCGGGGGTATTCACGCCATGATAGTGGCAGTTCTAGTTTCATTAAGAATTCACGTAAATGGTAGCATTTGGGTGGAACATTATATTATACTTTGTCAAATTATATACTTGGAATGATAAGACTTTATGACAAATTAAAATGTTAAGAATACAAAAAAACATCAATTGAAACGTTTAACCCTTGGTTTAAACATAAATTACGAGGCATTTCCTTAAACTTCGTAGAAGCGAAAAAGCAATGATATTTATTTTAAATGATATTTTTCTTGCATTTAGTTGTTAAGTATTGGCAACAACAATAACGAAAGTGTTAACATTACGTAATAGCAGACGATCATTTAGATAGGAGGGTTCAGAGAAACATGCCGTTCAAAAGATGAAATACTCTCAATATCTATCTGCATTGTAGGGATTATTTTCATCCACAGCATATCGCGGTGCGAATAAGAATTATTTAAAAACGTAAGGTACAATTCTACAATTAGATAAATCTGATTTAACCTTTTCAGTTAGGAAGCTGCTTGATGAAAACATACTTCCAACAAATAAAGACATTCAGACTATAAACAAATGTTTCGGGAGGCAATCTCAAAAAATGAAAACACTTTGTGAACAAATTTGTGGAGTTATAAAAAGGAAAATGTATAAAGATACAGCTACAGACATATGGCCAGCATGGAATCCAAAAAGTGATAAAATAGTTTTTGTTGTAGAATTGACAAAAAAAACTAACATTAGTAGAAATTATTTATATGATTACGATCTTGAAATAATAGAAAACGAGAGGTATTGTAGCGCTTTTGAGAAAGAAAGTTACATGGTTATGGAAAAAGAAAAGGAATTGTTGACGAGTCAAATATATGATGATATCGATCGCTTGCAAAGTCTTCAGAAAAAAGTATCAACATATTCAAAAGAACTGATGGATAAGCATAAAAACATAACTGCAATATTTCCTAGTATTGTAAGGTCTGTTGGTTATTTCAAATCTGGCAAACATAGATTCATCGAATCATTATGTATTTCCATACGTGTTGAAAAGAAAGTCAGTGGTTTGATTCCACTAGAAGAAGAGCTTATCACACGTTATTTAGGTACATTTCCAACTGATGTGATTGCTGGGGACTTTTGCTGTCTTGGTGACAGACCTAATGATTTTCATGAAAATATAAAAATTGGGTCAGCAATCCATGCTGGATTAAAAACAGATAAAGGGGAGATGTTAGGTGGAACAATGGGTTGTTTCGTGAAACACAAATTATTTGGAATGTGCTGTTTAACATCCGCACATATCGTTTTGTCACAAGCTGAGAATCAAGAGGTGCTAAAGGACGGGTACCGTGAATACGATAGAAATAGCTTGAAACCGGTTTACCAACCAATTAGCAAAAATTTATCGCAATTTGGACAAGTTGTTGCAGCTGCGTGTAACGAGGGGCAAAGTGACACGCCTGGGGTAGAAGTGGCATTGATAAAAGTCCTGTGCAGGCAACCAACATCCGGGTCTTTTCCACTTACAGGCATGTACTATTTAAGCTATTAAGCCGTATGTATGTTTCAACACATAAAACTATTATGTAAATTATGTTTTATAATATATAATAAATTAAACAGGCTCACTGATTTAATATGTGTTCGTATTCAACAACCTTAACATCGACATTGGTTTTATCAAACTGAATTAACATAGGCAGTCTATCATTTACCATGACCTTGGCTTGTCTTAATTCATTTCATTAAATTTACAGATTCCAAAAGAACGCCCACATTCGCGTTTAATTCAGGAAATATAGCTGATGCAAAACTGGTAAGACCATTGACAGAAGTGTTTAAGTTTGGTATTGAAACCGGACCAACTATCGGGTTACTTGGAATACCTGGTGTTTCTGTTCGATACCGGGGAGGCATACGATTAGAGAATCAAATAGTTGTTATGCCAAAGAAGGATGCTCCGTTTGCTAAGCATGGTGACTCTGGGTCACCTGCATTTATTGGTATATCATGTCCGGGAACAGAGGCTGCGATAGGGTTGGTTTCGGGAGGATTCGACAGCGGTCAAGTTCTAGTCACACCGATTCATGCTGCATTAAAAGCTGTCCATTGTCCGCCTTATTTACATAGATTTGAAGATGCTGATTCGGGATTCAATGACGAAGGCTGTGAAAGTATGGATTGCAGTTAATATTTCATGGCATGCTATGATCTAAACCTGTACAATGAAAAATGGCCGATATTCTGTAATGTTTTATAATAACATTTTCAAAATTACTTTTTAGATAAGTATATTTTCACCTAAAGTTCTATGAAAAGGTATTGATAATTGATACCAATATTTAACTAAGATGGAAAACTTTATGTTTATGATTAAAGCTTTATCATTTTTAACATAACAACTGGTTGCCATATTGTCTGCATTACAATAAAAGTTTGATTTAATGTACACAGTATTTTAGAAATGACAGCAAATTTGATTATTGTATAAGTACATGTAGAAATATCAAACATAAATTCAGCTAGAGTGAAACATAACAATAAATAATATGTCACTTCAACCAATTATCCTTTTACATTTCAGTAATTTCATTAATAAAAAAACTGTGTCATTTATTGAAATTCAACAATTTATATAAAATTTTATGTAAACTATTTGTTTTATATCTTCAACTGAATTTAAAGTGTTAATTATAACTCTCCCATGTTTGAAAGTTGTGTTTCGTTTCGAAATGACTCCTTAGTTTTTGTTACCAGGCTATTTGTGAAGACTTTGTTAAGGCAAAGACCTTTTTGCAAAGAAATGTCAGATAAAGCAATTATAAGATTTCCTGTCTTGAAACATATATGGTAGATTTGCTACAAGATGTCATTTCAAATGTGAAGTTAACTTGAAACATTGAAGATCTTACAAGTCATGTTAAGAAATTTTATTGGATAATTTAACGAAATTCATAAAAGATTTGTAGAGCATGGTTTATCATGTAAAAGATATAAGGATTCTTATATTCTCTAATGAATATCTTAATATGTTAAATATAGCTATGCTTTAGCATGTTTAATACTTTGTAGATAAATAAATGTTACTATAAATAACATTATGAATGTTTGGTTAAGGAATACTTAAGCATGCTTTACACCTACGAATTGTACTGTACAGTGTTTGATACAGGTAAACTCTAGCATACCTAAGATTTCAATATGATTAGATAAAGTCAAATACAATACACGAATGTTTGACACAGTTTTGCTTGTTTTAGCTTACTTTAATATACAATTTTTGAATGAGAGAGTATCCTTTGCAAATACTATTTGAAAGCATAGTTTTAGTTATATAAACATGTCATTTTTACGATTTCTGTATCCAACTATATAATAATGATATAATCATCATTCCTTATATATTATAGTTTGTATCTTATATTAATCATTGCCTATATTTCATTGTACATGATTGACAATACATTTGTCAACCCATTCATGTACTTTCGATACAATGTTTAGATTTATTTATCAATAGTTAACACTCAAACAGACTAAAATCAATTATAATGCACATAAGTATGGTCGTAATAAAATATTCTTTGATTCAATTTACTTTTGCTGTGATCAGTTACCGGTCACAATACTTGTTGCCTTTTTCGGCGAAAATTCAGGCAAAGAAATATCTTGTATTTCAAATTGCTGAACTTATTCAGTTTGATTTATTACTACATATTATCATGTGTTGGTTTTTCTTTATTTAAGATAAAATAATTTTATGTTGTTTCATTTCTGTTGAATCATATTTGTCAATATTTATGTTACAAAGACTTTGTTGCCTTTTTTCAAATGTGATCGTATTTGTGTAAACAACATACATATACACTCGTATGCTTGTAATATTATATATCATTAAAGCGTTGTATTTTCTGTTGCTTTCCTTTTACATTTGACTCCTTCAGTTTAAATACTGCCTTTGTGTTGAGATGACTAGCGTACAGCAAAACAAGAACGTTCATACGTGTTTTGTTATTAATATTTTTATATGTGATTATTTGTATTTTATAAGATGATCTATGTACAAAGAATACCAACTGATAAGACAATTGTTTCTCTACTAATCAACGTTTGTCTCGTGATAGAAAGCATATATTTATTGCTATCTGGAAAGTTTCATTTATAATACATATATCTATTTAGAAGGTATATATTTAAGACATATTTTCTAAATTCAACTCCTTCAAGTACGAATAATTGATACAGATGTACCTTATCTTTATCAGTCTGTCCTGTTCAATACCCACCTGATATGATATGTCCTATTTGCCAGGAGTTTTCAAGTTCTTATCTTCCTTTAGTTTAGTTTTTATATTTCCTTCCTGGTTTTAGTTTATATTTTCTTTCTGGTATTAGTTTATAAAAGATATATAAACAATTATTTTAGTTCGATAGTGTTGGAAGATATAAGCTTATTGAAACATCCGTCCCTGACAGTAACCAGTGCAAAGCAATGAATGTTAAGTTCCTAGCTCAAGGAAACAACGGCTTGTCAGTGACAGGGTTTTAAACCATGTGACCAGCAATCGTTACCCACGCGTTAGCATTCGGACACGCCGCCACTCATACTTGTTGGTATTTACAACAAAAGGAAACACAAAAATATAATCTGAAATTCATCACGTACATGTTATCTTCATGAAACCCTACATAATAAGTTTCCATGATTTAAAACCTCTTTGAGCAGTATATGTTGTAAATGGGTTGGTCGTTATATATTTTCACAGCGTTTAACAAAATAATGTTGTGATTTTAATCAGACCAACAGTTCTTCTATTTCTTCACAGAAATTTTAACACACAGTCTTAATTTAAACAAAATACTTTATTTATATATATTTTATGGTAAAACTGTAATTTTAAGTATAAAGGTACTTAATTCGTCAACAATCTAAAACAGCTTACGATAGTATTGTACAAAGCGTATATGGTATAACACACACACACACACGACCAGTTAATATCTAGTTTGGTCTAGTATTAATATGCGAGACCATAATGAACTAGCATCACACATGCAGTTACAACAGTCAAAGCCGTCACAAGTGATAAATAAATATACATAGTAACTTTATCCAAAAGCAAGGCAATTTCTTTCCAAGAGTATTCTTTATCAGATGGTGTCGATTCATTTGCTTCCCGGACTCCATTTTTGTCTTCTTCGTTATCTTCAATGGAAACAATCTTTTCGCTTTTGTTATAGTCGGATTTGTGTTGAGGAACTGTGCCACTATCATTATTCATATCAGATGGATTTGGGGATACTTTCTTATTTTTTCTACTGCAGTCGACACAAGCAAGTTTGATTAACACCGATGACGTCACTACGTGTAGCCATTTTGGAACAGGTTTGTCGTCTGGGTTGAAGTATGTATCGAGGTAGAGTACAGTAAGGAACACGGCAAGAGTTTGTAGAAACAAAATACAAGCTATGTATGATGCTGCAAACAGAACGATCAAAAAATATTAAAACGAAATTTCAGAATGTATCAAATGCCTATCACTGTATATACAAAGGAAATAAATCTATTCAGGTGCAGAAAATAGAATAAACAATTGTTTTAAATATTGGTCTGGCGAATGAAATATGTTTCTCAACTGCCTAGAGAAAAGAAAAAAATGATGGAATATAAAACACTCATTTTGTACGAACCAAGAAAAAGTACTTTTAAGTATCAATTTCAATTGGAAGAACTTTAAATGCAAATTATCCAATGATAACAAACGTTTGTTCTTAATTATAAAGCAAAATCATATACACCTTAGGTCATATCAGTTTAAAAGCACTTCCGGTCATAACACTTCGTAGGTTTTTTATACTAAAGTATTAATTAGGACTTGTCATGTCATGGTGGATTTTTAATATACAAGCAGCCTTTATATATTTTGAAGCGGGAGATATCTACAAAATAAACTTTCTTACAACTCAAAGATTTCAAATAACCTAACCGAACTATCGGTTTTGACGTTACTTACAAAGCAGACTTGCAGACAATGATGTCTGGGGAATACTTTCAGAAATGACACCAAGGTATACAGCATAAGCGAGTAATATAGTTAATGCCAGACCGACCCTTTCACCTGACTCCGGATTCAGCTTAAATATTATAACCTGAAAACAAGCAGAATTATACGAAGAAAACTTCTGTTAATATTCATCGGAATTTAAAGTAACAATCAATTTTAAATTAATATAAGGAGTTGGTAGTATTTTATCAATTCAAAGCAGGTAATAATAAATATAAAAGTACGAAGATCTGCATCTATAAATAAATGAAATATTTAACAAAACTCACACTTTGACTACAAACAGAACTTAGTTTGTAATTCCGCACAAAATAAACAATAATAATTTTCTTACTGTTAAGAACGCCATGAGGACAACCGGAAACAGTGTGTTAAGAGAGTGAAACATGGGTCTGCGACGAAATGTTAAGGAGAAAACTAGACGACTAAAACTTTCTGATTCTCGAACTGTCTCGAGAGATTTGTATCCTGTGTTGATTAATTCCCATTCCCCATTTTCTGTTAAATAAATACAATTAAGAATATATAATGTTCTATAGAAAGTTCGTAAAATAATTAACAAGGTTTGTTAACTTTGACAGAAAAATAAAATTTTCATGTCATTCCAATTTTCATTTCGGATGACTTTTTCAAGAGGTTATTTACAGAGAAAATGTTGATGTTCTTTTATTTAACAAACGTGTACCCATTACAAAAAAATAAAAATTTTGTTTCAAATTGTGTGCTTTTGTAAAAGAGTATATATAGAGTATATATAACTGACAAAATCAATTGATCGAACAACAATTCTGCAATTGCTTGAATGCAAGGCGAAAAGACAAACTCGTACAACCTTTTTTCTTTGTATCGACTTGTTAATTTGAAAGTCACGTTAAGGTTTTAGACATTTCACGGAAAACGGGTCATCAAACAGTTACGTGAGAAAGGCAATAATATTTTTTTTTAATTTATTTGTTTAACTTCAAAAATAAAACAAGGTCATGGTTATAACGTTCTTCTTTCAATTTTTCAACACTTTACCAAGTGTGTATTCTCATCATCTATCCATTAACATTCAAATATATCAAATAAGATCTAATCTCAACTTATGAGCTTTCAGAATAAAAAATCTCGATAATGAAAAAAAATATGGATAACAAATGACAGGAAGCAAAATACGCCTGTCTTTGGTATGTGTCTCTTTCTATCATTTACATAATTTTCACTAGAATCTTCAGTTCAGATATGAAATCTTACCTTGATAAAATTTCGTCAGAATCTTCGTTTTAAAGAGATTGAACTCTAACCTAATTTCAGTAAGAGTGTACGACCATGAACTGAGAACAATCTCGCAGGTTTGTGTGTCAAGTGGCCATAATGTTACTTTTCACAATGAGTAGTAAATATTTCGGCTGAAAACGAAAGAAGAGTTGAATAAAGGATTCTCTGTTTTAGCAATTGTATTTTCTCTTTACATCATATCATAAGATTATAAGTGAGCATAATATTATATCTGTTTAGTTAAAATAATTATATTATTTTGAAAAATGAAGCTTTACTTACATATTATTCTATATATCATAAATCTTAAATAATACAACTAAAAGGAGTATTTATAATACATTATATTATATTATATAATTATTATATAATATGGTTATTATATAATATGGTTAGACAATAACAATGTCATCGTGCCTCTTAAACGTCATGCCATACCGCCGTGGAATTTTGTTTTTACTGAGAGGGAGGTAAACTCCCCATATGTATGTGATAATTGAACGTTAAAGATATTCATAAATATGGCTTCATATAACATATATTGGTAAACAAAGTTAAATGGGTAACATACAAACAATGTATTCGTTGAATTATTATCAAATATCAGTCACTCCGAAAGAGCATAAATTATTCTTTCAACAAATGTTAAAGAAAAAGAAAAGTAGGATAGAATGAGTGCATGATAAATGTATGATTTTGGATAAATCTGATATTCTTGTACGACAATTAAAACATCGAAGTGTTTTTATCTAATAAGGGTTACTCCATTAGATATATTGACGTAATTGTTTCATCAACATCAATTCAATGTGAATTGGTTAGTTTTTATATTTTTTCAGGTAATGTTCGTATGACTATATAAAGGTGATTCTGCATTGCCAGCTTTATTTTAAATTAGCAGAAGTAGACCCAAAGTAAAAGTATGCCAAAATGCATATAACGACAAAGCTCAAAATGTAAAATAATGAACAATTTGCTATTTCACTTCTAGATAATAATAATTATTATATATATTTTATCTTAATATAAGGACTATTATATACAAAAATAAAATGATAACAATAAAAATGTTTACCTCGAATGATTCAAGATATGCATTTGAAGCACACACAGATATACTTCAACATTTATACAATAATAAGAATTAAAATTCAAAGGTCGAAAGATAAAATTATTTACGTTTACATATTTTACTGCAGTAGACAGTTCCAAGCTGAAAAGGTCTCAGATATTTCTTATTACACGAGTTTAAAATTAACGTTCTTCTCACAAATACATTGTAAAAAGAAAAACAAATTCAGAAATAAGAAATGCAGACCAAAGATCAAACACAGGTATAAACTTAGTGAGTCTGAATTATTAAACATAGATTTAATAAATAAGACCGGTGTTCATAAACAAAAGATCATGATAAAGATCAAATAATCCCTATTATTGTATTTTCATTGTTTTATAGAACTAAAATTGATCGTATTTCGCTACATAAACAACATTTACGAGAGTCATCCAAATAATTCATGGCCAAACGCGTTTACAAACAAAATACTCAATGGACTACTGAAATTTCAAAGTGATCAAAGTGGTTTGATTGGATATCCTTCACAAACTTCACGTGACCAAAGAAACCGTACTTGACTTCAAAATGGAGGCTTCTAAATCAACGTCAAAGAAACCTGATTCAGTCTAAAAATGATCTTTTTGACAAAACATGCGTCACTTCTCTTTTTTGTGAAACCAAACTTATTCATAAATTATTTACAATTTCATACAAAATGTGATTATTATAGATTGTAAAATCTTTTTTTTCCACTTTACTTTCTGTTACGTACATGACCGCAAGCATCTCCAAATTTTTTATTCATTTATTTTTATGTATCCAATTTAAGCAATCTATTACTGAAAGGTTTCCATTCAATCACATATACAAGGAAATATATCATAATCAAAATAGTTTGTCTAACTTGATCAAAAACTTGTGATGGCAGTGGTCTGTGTAGCGAAGCAAAGGGTGATCACTGCGTTGACGTTTGCTTAAAATTTCTTATAGTTATTATCACACAATAATTGCTGAGCAAACACGCATTCATAATTATGTCTGATAACGCAATGCAGCCCTCGTTCCAGCGCCATGAATACGTTTATCACACACCCGTGCCGATTTTGCGACTCCTTAAAAATGGTATTGCACAGTCGTGCATATATTTTGACGTGACGTCATTAGCGTTATACAAACATTGTCAGAGGCTCGCATAAAATAATTTTATTCAACTCGTGCAATAAATTCAGTATTAAACTTACACTCATTCAAAATCCTCTATATATGACATTCTGTGAATGTTTTCATTTTCACCTTTGTTAGGAATATACTTTTAATGTCAGGCCACTTTCTTGAACGATACATTCACATGTCTTCTTTTGGATTTCTAAGCACACTCTAATTTGGAAAACTTCAATTTCTGAGACACCTAGAAGTGCTTGATGTCTTTCTTTAATAATTTCGATTCTCTCCACTCTTCCTGGTTGCTTCATTTTTGCTATTTTGTCACCTGTTACATATTTCTTATGAACTTGCATTACAACGATCGCGAAATATTCTTGTCCTTTTCTGCAGATTTTAACTGTTTTATCATGACTGTTGCTAAGCCGCGTAAATCGTCGTCATTTATATTGTGCTTATAATCATATGTATTGTATGCAGTGAAATCTCCACTGTGAACACTGTGTTACGATTTCATCAAAATTTCGCCATAAAGCGTTAGACAAACGGTTAATAACAACGTCAAAGCATAAGGTTGTTTTCTTGTCACTCCATTTTTATTTGTTTGGGTCGTCAGACCAAACAAATAATGGTAGCGAAATTTCAGAGTATAATGTTCTTATTTGCAAATGCCGAAAGTAGTCCACTTTTTTGAAGCGGTTACTTCCCTTTTGTATGTACACTAAAGCCGAAAAATTCAGGGGAGATCACTGCGTAAAGATGGTCAAAGACAGGCGCATCAATTTTCAAGCAAAGTAATTCCCGAATGGTCGAAGGTTTCTAATATTGTTTTATTGTATTTTCTGATCGAAAATAACTAAATACAAAGCGAACATTCAATCTCTGACACAGAAGTTTACAACAAACCTAACAACAAGTAGTTCTCAAAACAGCTTAAAACTAGCGATTTAAAAGAAAGAAATATTTTATTTTGTTACAAGTATCCAACAAATTACAACGCATTTAAAGTTAAACAATAGCGTTGGCTTATAGAATTGTCAATAAATGCACAATCACAAATTACGCGGATGAATATGATTTTATCAATGAAAATACTATTTATAACCGAATACTACACAAACCGAGTAGTGGAATATATAGATTCTACATGTCGGACTGTTTGGGCGAGAGGATTTTCGCTAAAATATTTACTTCAATTTTAAACAACAGGATTACCCTGAACAAAATACCTCGAAATTAATAAGGATTACAAACCCGAAATGCAATGGAAGTTCTCAATTTAGAATGACTTGATATTATTCAGAGTTTCTATGTATAACTTCTCCGTGGTACAGTGGTAACGCGCTCGCTTAGGGAGTGAGAGGTCTCGAGTTCGAAACCCAATCAAGGAAATTTTTTTTTCTGATAAATTCTTTTTTAAGTGTTTTTGTTAAGGAAGTAGCCATGATATGCAAGGATAAAGTGTGACTGTCGTAAAAAATGAACATAAATTATTTTTTGATGCAACTCTAGTTATGCAGAATTCCGTATGTTTCAAACTCTGGTGCCTTGCAAAATGAATTATAATACATAAAAATAAACCTAAAAAGGAAAATGCATACAGATATACCGTACGATTTAGATTGCAAAGATCAGAAAATACCACAGAACTTGCAGCACTTTGATTTTTAGTTGGGACGTAGTCCCAACTAGTGCACTTACAAACCCGAAATTTCCAACCATACAGGGTAACGCCCACTGCTGTGACGTTTCATCGCCACTCTAAATGCTATATTGTATTCTAACATATCAACGTAAGCTGAATTCATAGTGATCACCCGACCATGACCGACGCATAACCGCCGCGAGTGAAAAATAGTGCTCTGAATTTCTGAAAACTTCGATTTATTGCGAACAGAAGTGGAGACAAGAAATTTATTTTTTGAAAATAATGTGCAATTGAACTTGAATTACGGTATTAGAAACGTAGCGGATATAATTTGAAAGGTCACATAATTCCATGAATGGGATAGTAAATTAATTGGGTCATAGTGCTTGACGGCTTGCAATATTTAACTTACTCATCCGCCTTAACATCACATTTTTTTGTATTATATTCCAGAATTTTTTGAAAAAGACATTATTTATCGGATAAATGTTGTAGTTTATAATTGCAAAGTGGATATTGAAATAGAATTAGCCAGAGATGTAGATAATCTATTCGTCTCTGAATTAGCCGATAATTAGGTTAAATGAATCCGACAACATCCGGTATATTTTTCGACCTACTTCACGAGCATAATTATCAGCCTGTTAAGCTCATAAGGTATGTTATAAAGCAAAATATGTTATGAATTTGATGACTAATAATATTAAGTTTATTTATTGATGCCAATTTGTTTCCGAAAACTAAAACTTTCGTAAATAATTTCGAAGTAATTTGGAGATATCGAGTCTTTCGTACCCAAGACATTTCGATCATACTTAGACTGCAAAACCGACAGATTTTACAAATTGATATTACACAGGTGTCTGCCTTTACAGGAAACCGGCATATACGCCTACAACTTTTTGGTCTTGTCACGGCCGTTACGTCTCTACCAAATGGGGCACATTCTTGAATATTTCAGAATAATTTTATTTTGACCTTTATAAATTATTATATATATCTATTTAAAGTCTAGCCATTTCATTTTGGGTCATCTTTTTACAATTTGAATAATTATTCTGGAAAAACGAAGTGCGCAAATGATCTAAAGGTTTGTACAAAGATTAGTGTTCTAAACATTCATCAAATGGTACATTTATCTGGAAAAAATATTTCAGTCCCATCATGACAAAATACCTCAATGGAACCCCTTTAAATTGAATTACACTTTTTTTAAATGTATGGGTAAATTCCATTTTCAGTGGTTGAAATTTTTCCTCTTTTCTGATTAATCAAGCTATAGTTTCCCATTTATAAAGCCACAGGTTGTTTTGAAAGTTGAAAAAAAATCACTGCCACCTTGAGTCCTTGATAATTGTTAACCTGAAAAATCTTCAGGCACTTAAAGGGATTTGAACCCCAGACCTCTTGATTACAAGGCAGACACACAACCATGTCGCGAAAATGTCAACACAACAGCAAGACTGTTGGAAATGATCTATACCTGTTCTCAATACATGGTTGAAGTAATTTATCAGTGTTAATTAGACATTTTATATGATTTAACAATTTTTGACACTTACTGATATTCACATTTTTTTCACAAATCTACATGTAAAAAATAGATATCATAATAAAATGATAGAACATTTTCTATTTTAGTGGTAATACTGTGGAGTAATATGAAGAAATATTATTAATATTTTATTATCATATTTTTTCAAATTTTAATTATGTCATTACATGCTGTACACAATCATATTATAGTGTAAACATATATATACATTGTATAGACACATATATACATTGTATATACCAGAGACGTTAAAATACATAAAATGTATTTATATGTCTCTGTATATACACACACTAAGAGAGTAGTATTGGATGATTTTTGAAAATGAAATCTCTAAATTGATATTTTCAGGGAAATAAAAGATTATTTACTTTAATATTCACTTGGAAAGGCTGGTACATGTAGCTAGAAAAAAGTACAGTATAAGATTAAAGAAAGACTAGAAGATTATTACAAACAACAGGTACTTATATAATATTTAATGTATATTTCACAAACCAAACTGTTTTCAAAAAAAAAATTAATGAAAACATGCATTTTTACCAGTGTCACCATGGGTCAGATTAACAGACCCATTCCCAGTGGCAAATACTGCCAAATATGCTTTTTTTCTTTTCCAAGTTTAGAAAAAAATCATAAGTCAAAATTCCCGTTATCAAAGCTGACAATTTTTCTTCATTCCATTTCAATCCAATATGGTACCAGACAGATGATGTTCAAAAACACATTCCATTGTCAATTTTTTATGTATTTTTTATGCTTTGAATGATACACAATTTGTTGGATTAACAACTTTGTACATGTACATGGTACTAAATATTTTTCCCAATCAAGATGCAAAATTTCTTAATCCATTACTTCATGAGCATTTTGTGAAAAAAATTGCTGTTTTCATTGAAAAGTCTCCCGTTACAAGTTCAAATTGCTATAATACTATAAAAACAGCTTCAACACTAATCAAACTTGGCACAAATGTTGACTGGACCATTGCCCTTGCAACAACATGCTCAGGCTTAAATTTTCTGTTACCATGGCAACGAGGGGACATCTCAAAATTGCCCAAAATCACTATTTTGCCTCGATTTTTTCAATCAAAATTGATTTCAAAGTGATGCCACTTCTCAATGGATTGAGATATAGTCAAATGCTTTTCAGCGTTGGTTACACGTTACCTTATGATCAATCTGGGGCCATTTACAGCCTCTCACAAGTCCAAAATTTTCTTGGCATAATGCTTAGAATGGTTTCACACAGGTCAGTAAGACCGGTGTACACAAATTACTGTCTGCACATATGTGTCAGAAAAAAATTCACAAAAAAGGAATTTAGTATTACTATGAGTATTTATTAAAGAAATTGTATTTCAAATACATTTAAATAGTATTATTGAAAGTCATTTTCTATGACAGACACACAAATCTAGTGCTCTGCATTATAAATGTAAGAAGAGACAAATAAGATAAGCATTTTTTTGCAAATTATTGCACTTCATATAATTTTTATTGCTTTTTTTTAAGGTGGACATGTGTCACTGTCAAGCGAATGAAGATAAGCATCACACTTGGTGGGAATCTCCAGTTTCCAGATGTAGTGATCATAACTGTATAGGCACCATTAACACTTTGGACTAGTTGGAGTATTTTAGAGGGCTAGTCTGAATTGAATAGTAAAGGCCAGTCATGAACATTGTTTTGAAGGAAAATGTTAAAACTCGGATTTTCCGCTTAACCAATCATTACTTTACCTTATATTCAGTGCGGTAATGTAGGAAATGGTTACTTTCTGGAACGGAGCTGTCAATTATTTTTAATTTTTTAGCTTGTTAGTGTTATCGTCGGACAGTTGTGAAGTAAAGACATCGCAGTTTGACTGTAAACTATACAAGTTGCCTTAAAGAAAGTATGTCGAAATCTTAACAGTTATTGGTTGATTTTGTAGAAATTGACCAGAATTCACCTTTGTTTACACGCATCGCTTGGACGTCGAAAACGACATGCAATGACATTTCAGTGAAATTTGGAAACTTGCTCGTATTTTGGAGCATTTTGTAGGATTTCGATGAAGTAAAAAGTGTTTATGATAGGATACATTATTCCTAGAGACAACCACAAAGATAAAATAGTGATCTGGTGTATTTTTACCGAACAGTTCTTGTTTGTTTTGCATGATATTTTTCTCTCGTTAGGGACCTTTATTCTTTATATATATAGTATTATGAGCGTATATGGGTAAATGTGGTATATAGTGCCTGTGGTTTTAACATGTATCTTAGCTTGCCTGGTGTAATGATAAGTAATAAAACCTGAGAATTGAAACTATGAGAATAAATTGTTGTTATTAGTCCCCTTCTATTTTCATTAAGAGGGGACTAAAGGCTGACCCATTTCTGTATGTCAATGAAAGCTGAATTTTGCTATAACTTAAATGGTACAAAAGTAAGGTTCATCATACTGGTATCTGATATAGAACTATACAGAGATTAAGCATGTTATTATAATTTATGCTCCTGAAAGGGAGAGAATATAGTTGCGGTCTTAACCATCTGTCGGTATGGACTCAAGTAATATTCTGGATAAATATCTGTGTTCATTACATACAGACTTGTACTTTTGGGGAAAAAGGTTCCTCATGGGAGAAAAATATGTTTTTAATGGTGTTTTTGAGATTTTAGTTGATAAAGGAAAAAAAACATAGTCTGTACTTAGGAAGACATTTGTCCTTCACACTCTTGTCCGAAATATGAATATAACTAGATATGTATTGAAGGGATTTTATGTAAACTTCACAAAGTGATAGAGACTTTTAAGAGGAAGTGCAATGTTCAAGAAACATAACTCTACCTTGCTTCATGTTTTAATTATATCCCTTAAGTTAAAAATGCTTATTCCAAACTATCAATGAATCTACATCAACTTGAACGACTCGAATTTTCCAATGTGTCAAAGAACCATAACTCCATTCCTTAGTTTTTAGCTCACCTGTCACAAAGTGACAGGTCAAGCTTTTGTGATCCCTTTTCGTCCGGCCGTAAACTTTTACTTTAAATGACATCTCCTCATAAACCACTACGCTAATTTCATCCAAACTTCACAAGAATGTTCCTTTGGCTGTCACCTTTAAAAATTGTGCAAAGAATTTAATTCCATGCTGAACTCTGGTTGCCATGGGAACCGAAAGAAAAAAACTTTAAATATCATCTTTAAAAAAACCCTTAGAGCTAGAGCTTAGATATTTGGCTCGAAACATCCTTTAGTGAGTGTCTACCAAGTTTTTTAATTAAAAGCCCTGGGGTCAAAATTGGCCCCGCCCCAGGGGTCATTGATTTTCCCTATGTGCATATAGTAAAAACTTTATAAAATCTTCTTTTAAAGAACCCATAGAGCTAGAGCTAAGATATTAAGCATGAAACATCATCTAATGAGTGTTTACCAAGTTTGTTCAAATAAAAGGCCCGGGGTCAAAATTGGTCCTGCCCCAGGGGGTCATTAATTTTCTTTAAATGCATATAGTAAAAACTTTAAAAAATCTTCTTTTAAGGAACTAAAAGAGCTAGAGCTAAGATATTTAGCATGAAATATCTTCTAGTGAGTGTTTACAAAGATTGTTAAAATAAAAGCCCTGGGGTCAAAATTGGTCCTGCCCCAGGGGGTCATTAATTTTCTTTAAATGCAAATAGTAAAAACTTAAAAATCTTCTTTTAAAGAACCCAAAGAGCTAGAGCTAAGATATTTAGCATGAACATCTTCTAATGAGTGTCTACCAAGTTTGTTCAAATAAAAGCCCTGGGGTCAAAATTGGCCCTGCCCCAGGGGATCATTGATTTTCCCTATATGCATATAGTAAAAACTTCAAAAATCTTTTTTAAAGAACCCAAATAGCTAGAGTTTATATTATAAGTGGAAACATCTTCTAGTGAGTGTCTACAAAGTTTGTTCAAATAAAAGCCCTGGGGTTAAAACTGGCCCTGCTCCAGGGTTGTCATTGTTTTTAACAGTATGTGTTAGTAAAAACTTAAAAAATCTTCTTTAAAAAAACCCAATAAACTAGAGCTTTGATGTTTAGCATGAATCATCTTCTTATGGATGTCTTCCAAGTTTGTTCAAATAAAAGCCCTTGGGTTAAAACTGGCCCTGCAGGGTGGGGGGGTATATACAGGTGAGCAACCTCAGAGCCATCATGGCCCTCTTATTTAATTATCTACCTTTATTATACATGTACTTAATTATGCTTGTCCAGAGAAATAGTTTTAATACTGGAAAAGAGTTGATGAAATTTGATTAAACTTTTACACAGCGAAAATAATCAAGTGAAAGAAAGTGTTTTTTCAAAAGAACCCTAATTTTTGTGTCGCCTTGAAAAGGTGACATAATAGGGGTTACTTTTGTCGGCGGCGTCTGTGTTGTTGTCGGCGTCCCCTAAAGCTTGTCCAGAGCATAACTCAGTCACTATAAGTCTGATTGACTTCAAACTTGGTATGCATGCTTCTTTTAATAACCCGAAGTGCAGTGCACAAGGACCGGTACTCTGCAGTTCTTATTTTTTGAGTTATTGCCCTTTGTTAATTTTCATACTTTAATTTTGTCCGGGCCATTTCTCTTCAACTAAAAAAGCTATGGACTTGATACTTCATAGGATGATAGATCTCATTAAGAAGAAGTGCAGTGCACAAGAACCAGTACTCTGTACTTCCTAATTTTTGAGTTATTGCCCTTTTTTAATTTTCATATTTTATTTTTGTCCGGGCCATTTCTCCTAATGAATAAAAGCCATGGACTTGAAACTTCATAGGATGATAGGTCTCGTTAAGAAGAAGTGCAGTGCACAAGAACTGTTACTCTGCATTTCTTATTTTTTGAGTTATTGCCCTTTGTTTATTTTCATACTTTAATTTTGTCCGGGCCATTTCTCCTTAAGTATAAAAGCTATGGACTCGAAACTTCATAGGATGATAGATCTCATTAAGAAGTGCAGTGCACAAGAACTGGTACTCTGCATTTCTTATTTTTTGAGTTATTGCCCTTTGTTGATTTTCTTTCTTTATTTTTGTCCTGGTCATTTCTCCTCAAGTATGAAAGCTATGGACTTGAACCATCATAGTATGATAGATCTTATTGATAAGAAGTGCAGTGTTCAGAAACTGCTGCTCTGAACTTATTATTTTTTTAGTTACTGCCCTTTGTTATTTTTCATATTTCATTTTTGTCCTGGCCATTTCTCCTAAACTGCATTGTTCACAAGGTGACACATCCGACTCGTTGGAGTTCTAGTTTCTAGCTTAGTTTTACAATTATCATCTCTTAAAATACATGTTCAACAACTTTTAAAATAATGGTTGTCTGGAGTAAGTCTTTTCAATGATATCACACTCAAACTAAATACAGTTGTAGAGACTAGTGAGCAGAAGTCTTGTGTCAAATAACCAAAATTCTACATTACTTAGTTTTTGAATTATCTCCGTATATATTTCATGATACTGTTCTGAGAGAGGATTAAAATATTGAAGGAATTTGATTGAAACTTTATAAACGTTATACAGTGAAAGAGATTAGCATGAGAATTGCAGTAAACAAAGGCCATTATAAGTTCTAATGACATGGTCACATTCATATAATGTGATGCAAAAAAAATTGACCATTTGAGTGTTTACTTGATACCGATTCAGAAAATTTGATATATATCACAATTGATTATCTTTTCATAGCTTTGTCTCCCTTTATAATGTCATGTGTTAAAATAGTCAAGCTTGCTGTTTCCTCTGGTAGCTCTAATTTCACTTGTTGCTCTTATCAAAAAAGGCCAATAACGGTTTATGATCGACCTATAGTACATGTAACCTAAATATTATATTTGAACATGTGTGTCATAGAATAATTGTATCAACTACTGTTCATTTACTGAATTTTGCACTTTATATTTATCAACCGGCAACACCCTTCACTCATTGAATTATCTGCCCCGAAATAGAAAAAATAGTTATTTGATCCTTCATACGTCCCAACTGCAGTGCCTTCAGCACTTTGATTTATAAATATAAATGCTTATAGTAAGCTCCAGGATTATTTACATCTGTGTTAAACAACAGTTAAAGTCGTTACAAGCCCTAATTTAGAATAATATGGTTTTCTTCAGCCCGTTCACATATAAATTCACCGTGGCTGAAGGGTTTTCGGGCTCGCTTAGGAAGCGAGAGGTCTGGAGTTCAAATCTTAGTAAAGGTAACTCATTTTTTTTTCAAATTGTTAAAGTCAAATAAACATTGGATTGAATATCAGTGTTGCAATTAGTCTTATAGCCAATTTACTACAATTAAAACGATGGAAAGCATTGGTGGCACTATACATATAATCTCACAACCTGCACCTTTCTTACAATCTGAGACCCAAACAAATTCAGCACCTTCTGTGCTTTGATTAATATAAAGTATTAAGTATGTTAAATGAAGGTATTTGGCGTGAGCAAAATGTGCGCACATGATATCTCAGGCCTATACTAATGGTTTTATATTTAATGTATGCATACTCTCTGAAAGCAATGTTTCTTTTTTACTTTAAATTTGTTTGGAAACACTTCTGCAAAATCAGTTCATTATATTGTTTTACGGTCATTGTTCAATACTTTTCGGGACAGCCTTCATACAAAAATGCTGACTTGCAAAGAATCAATCACATCTTGCCATTACAAAAATATTACTTAAAATAACAAAACAATAAATTTATTCTAAAATTTCAAGTCAAATTCTATCAATTTAAGATAAAATATCTAATTAATGAGGAAAACAATGGTGAATAATTTGGTTGTTAAATTTTATCCTGATCCTTAAATCTATGGGCTCACGAGAAAGAACGATTACTAAAAATTATTCTTCAAATACATGGTGATGGTAAAAAAGTGTCTTTGTATAAAACCTCAGAAAACAGAGATCACTAGTGCTTAAAACTGTATTTTTGGCCTTCTCCTGACAGGGTTCTGGTTTTAAAAAGTTTTTGACGTGGATACAAAACTTGGGCATATTCAAAAGTCATATATTGTTATTTACTTTAAGATAAGGACAAACACTAGAAAATAAAATGATTTATAAGGCTCGATGACTAAAATGCATTACATGTATTGCGAACATTAAATGCATGTATTGTCTAGCTTTATGTCTAAAGAGCACTTACTTGTCCGTTGAAAATTCTAATTGTCAAATAGTTTTTTCAGAATTGTTATAGCTTTCACGATCAGACATGTCATATATGTAACGAAATCAATTACAATCTCAAGAACATTGATAAATAGAAAGTTACAATTTTCCAATCAGGTATTATTTCGAGGAGTTTTCAAACATGATTGCATCCAAGCACTTATATTAATCTACATAGGTTTCACTGATTTTTATCAAAACCGACTACAACGTGCTCATTGTGAGATATTGTTAAAGTAGTCTTCTCTTGTGAAACGTCATAGCGTGGAGGTTCAACAATTGGCATGAAACATTGTGTAGTTGACATATGTCAAGTGTGTTCAAATTGAAGGCCCAGAGATAAAATTGGTTCTGCCTCGGACTTAACAGATTTTCCGAATACATATAAATTAGAAACTTAACACATGATCTCCTCTAAAACGACAGTGACTAGATATTAACCATGAAATATTGCCAAGTAAACCTCTATCAAATCTGTTCAAATTATGCCTTTAGTGTCAAAATTGGCATTTAACGCTGCATTATATTTCTCATTAAAAACATGAAACAAATTTTGAACCACCTGATTATAACACAATACATTCGAATGTCTTTGCATTTTGAAACTTGAACTTACTTTGCGACGTACCAAAGAAGTTACCGAAAGTATTAGTACCTTACAAAATTTAAAATAGAAACTTACATATAATTGGTAAGATATATATTAGAGAAGATTATATCTTCTCTTCAACAGGCACTGTCTATATAAAACGATACAGATAAAACTCAATTCAATTATTTAATACACCGTTTGGACGTTTAAACGCTCCTAGGAAACCTGACTGTATCACCAAGAACATCATCATTACAAGCTGATTTTTTTACATTTAGAAATCTTTAAAATGCATATACCTGCAACGACTATATACAGTATAGCCTTTTCAGGCCCCATTTAACATAACAGATGTGTCTTTCGAGTCGCAAATTGAGAAAAAAATGTTTTTTATATAGCAAACACAATATATGTTGAAAAGAATTTCAAAGTTACAAAAGTACCTTTTTGATTGTGTAAGACATAACATCGGCCATTTTATATAAAAAAACATATGTTTGAGGAATAAATATACATAAGTAAACCCATTTACACATTCCAATTAATTACCATTATAAGTCCGTTTTTAGTTCACCTGTCACAAAGTGACATGGCGAGCTTTAGTGATCGCTTTTCGTCCGGCGTCCGTCCGTCCAGCCGTACGTTAACTTTTACTTCAAACGACATCTCATAAACAACTTAGCCAATTTCATCCAAACTTCACTGGAATGTTCCTTTGGTAGTCAACGTTGAAAATTGTTCAAAAAATTTAATTCCAAGCAGAACTCTGGTTGCCATGGCAACCGAAAGAAAAACACTTTAAATAACTTCTTTTAGAAAACCGAAAGAGGTAGAGCTGAAATATTTGGCATGAAACATAATCTAGTCAGTGTTTACCAAGTTTGTTCAAATAAATGCCCTTTGGTCAAAATTGGCCCCGGGGGTGATTGATTTTCCTTATTTGTATATAGTAAAAACTTGAATTAAATCGTCTTTAAAAAAAACAAATAGCTAGAGCTTAGATATTAAGCATGAAACAACCTCTAGTAGGTGTTTACCAAAATTGTTCAAATAAAAAGCCTGGGGTAAAAATTGGTCCCGACCCAGGGGGTCATTGATATTCCTTAGTCTTTTCATTAAAAACTTAAAAAGTCAAAATAGGTAGAGGTTAGATATTAAACATGAATCATCTTCCAGTGGGTGTCTACCAAGTTTGTTCAAATAAAAGCCCTGGGGTAAAAATTGGCCCCGTCCCAGAGGGGTCATTGTTTTTCCCTTAATGTATATAGTTAAAACTTAAAAATCTTCTTATAAAAACACAAAGAGCTATAGTTAAGATACTTAGCATGAAATATCTTCTAGTGAGTGTCTATCAAGTTTGTTCAAATTGGATCAAAATTGGTCCCTCTGAGGGGGGGGGGGTCATTGTTAACCCTATATGTATATAGTAAAAACTTAAAAAATCTTCTTATAAAATCCCCAAAGAGCTGAGCTAGAGCTTAGATATTTATCATGAAACATCTTCTAATTGATGTTTACCAAGTTTGTTCAAATAAATGTTCCTGGTTAAAAATTGGCCTTGGCCCAGGGGCCTATATACAGGTGAGCGATTTCAGGGCCATCACGGCCCTCTTGTTCTCTTTAAGTATTTAACCACCTTGTCCAGACACTACTGTTTCAGTTATTGTAATGTAAACACTAAGTTTACTAGGTGTACACAACTGGTATAATATTAATGGCATCTGTAGCCCAACAACTATTGTTGACATTAAAGCAATATCATCCGCATATAACAATATAAAATATTAAATCTAAAAATGTCAATAATATTTGGAAATAACTGGATTCCTCTTATATTATCATTGTAACTATGACTTTAATTCATTTTTAAACATTGTAAATAATATCGAAGTTAAACAACACCCTTGTCTACTGAGTCAAAAGCTTTTCGGAATATAAAACAAAAGCAAAAGAATATAAAACAAAGCATTATCTAGTGTATTCAGCTTTTAATCCACCTTTATGTGAGCTTAAATCGTAAATATCGATTTGAATACTTTATTAAATAGCATTATATTCTAATGCGTTTGCACTTATCCATAATTAAGGTATAAACAATAAATAACAAACAATTATAAACAGGATTAGAATAAATGTTTACACGCCAGATGTGGTGCCAATTCATTAAAAACACTGCCTCATAATGTAGACCAACATCTCCTTAAGTAAAATGATTTTGTCAAATTATAAGGCAAAATATGTTGATATGTTTTGAAATTTAGTACTAAGAGTATGCATAGTTACTCGCTCAAATGATTTTTAATTAATTAACTAGGCAGTTTTGATCATATAAATGCGCATTAGCTTACTATATAACTACACTATGCACTCAAAATCAACCTATTTGTCTGCTCAATATTTAGAAATAGGGATCGTTGTATTATAAAAGGGAAGCACAGGGACGTCAGAATATTTGCATGCAGGTAATCATGATCAAATGTGGTCCAGTAACTTATTAACTAGAATGACGTGTAAACCTATAAGCAGTCGTTTAAGTAGTATTGTTCAAACACTAAATACTAAAACATAGATCACAGTTGGAAACCAATGTATTTTGAAAAAAGATATATTGATATTAACTTTGATTTTAGAACTGATTTATTTGTCCTTCAACCAGAAAAATATGCTTTAAGAATTAATAGCGCATGGTTAGAGTCATCCCGTTATGAAATGAATAAAGAAGACAAAAGTAAACTGTGTCATGATGACTAGGTGTCTACAACAGAAAATACTACTTAAGAAAAATGAAACCCCACCCTGAATTTGTCAATGAGTACATAACTTTGTTACAAATTGTATCTGTTTAACCGATGATAATAGTTAAAACTAGGGCTCTACACTGTTAATCCCAATCCATGTTTTCTTGCACATTGAAGAGGCATAGAAACAGAAAATCCTGAATCATTGCTGTTTTCATATCTTTGTAAAAATTGTTTACATTTCAGCGACTTTAATATATCATGGATAGGAGTGACATAAACATAATCGTTTGGAAAACAACCTGTTATCAAGCTTATAACAGACTCCCGAAAAATACATTTATTATCCTGAACTAAACGTTTGCAACCTTCCATTATAATTAGGCAACGAAGATCACAAAGAAAATGTCATTATATACATCTCAGCAAGTAATTTTGAAATTTTACAAAAAATACCAGATTTTCAACAACAGGGAAATAATTATAAAATGAATTATACAGTTGTTTTTTTCTTTTGACATATAATATAATATGTTAGCCAATCTTAATCATCAACTTTTAATTAAACTCCTCAAAATCTCCATTTAAAGAACAAATAACTATGTTAAAGTGTGTTTCTCTACAATTCAATATTTTTGTCAGAAGAAATCCGTAACAGTAAGCTAAAGGACTCCTGACAAGTCATTAGAACTGCATACTTCTTGTAACAGCTCCCACCCTAATTTAATAATTCCAAGATAAATATACAGGAATTTGACACGAAGGTACATTTTGTAAAAGCAAGTACCTGATGTTCCAGCTCTTCTAAGTGGGAGGTGTCACTCCCTGTTCCAATAAAACATTTCTCAGTCGACAAAATTTAAGGCACAATACCTTCTGTCCTTCATTAAAAGTACATACTCCATAAATACGTTGCAGACAGTTAAATGGTTAAAATCCTCCAATTTTTTAATGTTTATAGTGTAATTTTGGACTGATGGACCATCTGTTACACTTGTGTTTTTATAACTGTGTTCCGTATTCACATCTACTTTATGAAAGGCAGCACTTTGACTGTCACACTCATTTTATGCACAAATTAGCTAATTTTCGCTCTACAGTTTGTCAATTTCTCTTAATAAATAATGTTATGATTTTTCTATACTTTTGAATGCCACTTTTATTATCTTTGCTTTTTTCTTGCGGTTCACGCCACGGATGGATTACCAATGAACAACATTATTATAATTCAATTAAAACAACGAAGCATAAATAATAACTTTTTACGTCCCGCATTTTAGTCGTATAAATCATTCGTTGTTTGTTTGTGTGTGTTCTTTTATGTGTGAGCTTTTTGTTTGTTTTTTGTAATTTACATCCATTCCTTCTTATCTATATCATAATTTATATTACCCGATATGCCAAGGATTTATACTTAATTTTATCATTTACCGATCTGTCCTATGTGTGTCTCATAATGGGCGGTATATAACAGATTGTGCGCTTAGCAGATTTAAGATGTATGAAGAACTGATTTAAACGTTGTTTTTTTCAATAATTAACTACGTTGTTACCTTTATTTATGTTTTTATGTTACTATACGAAACATGAATATACATGTATCCAATGTAGTATATACAATATAAGAAACAAAATGGGGATGAACAGAATATAAGGCATCATAAATATATTACAAATAATATCATTATACTTATACTTATTTTAAATAAATTAATTTAGATAAGAATCTACATGTACTTATTTAATACGATTAATTACTTTGTTATTTTATACAACCATTCTTGTTGTGGATTGTAAATGCATAGCATCTTTCACTTAGTAAAACTACATGTCATCAAATTGTACTATTTACATGCACCTACATTATGTACATAACTTACACAATAGACACAGAACATCATTATATACCTATTGCGTGATACAAGTACCCTCTTCTATATATATTGATATTCAAATACACGTACTACGGTAATACGAGATGCCAAGGACAGTTAAGATCGAGTTGAACGCAAAAAAATGTCAGGACGTTTTTAACGTCAATAGAAATTCACTACAAAAGCTTCGGCAATAAACAGTCAATGAATTGCAAGGCATGTTTGACACCTTCATCTGATCTACTGATTTATTCTGACTTAGAGTTAAGTACAAGTCATGTTTTTAAACATTATGTGTTTTTTTGTATTACTGAACTAGATAAACGTATTACCAATACGTTAATATAATGATGATACTCTTAAATTTTTGAACGATTTCGCCGATTTTGTTTAAAGAATAATACCCTGTGCTCTAAAGAAGATAATTCTTTTTCTTGTTTATTTTACTGTACATAATCTTGAAAAAAATTAAATAGTACTGTCCTCAATTGTCCGAGGTATCCTCTAGATTTTACACCTGTAACATTTTCCTATTTGCTTGACTTAAATTCATATTGCACTGTTACAATTACTTAATAATGTCAAAATTTATGAAAGATGACTAAATGAGCTAACCCAAGCTTTCGGTCAAATTCCTTCTCATTATTTTTATTATCCTTATGTATATATCTTTATTAAAATATTAGTTAAAATTAAATGTGAAGTTTAATGTAAATCGTGATTTCATAAACTAATTTATTCATAGTGAGAATAGTGAAATTGTAAACCTTTCGCAAACTGATGAAAACTAATATAATATGTTTCATCTTATGGTTGACTACACCACATCCCCTTGTTATGTAAACTAAGAAACATTACCCGTAATTGTTTTGTAAAATATCTTAAATAACATCATCTATTTGAGCTTCGTGTGTTTTACTACATAAAAGAATTTGACTTTAAACAGTTAGATAAGTTTTAGAGAAGTTTTACGTGCATTTTAAAGTGAAATCTTTAAAATTTATGTTACTTTATGTGAATGATTTTTGATACCGTTGGATTTAAGAAAATACAAGATACTAGTAATTCACACGGCTGCTACGGGTAAGTTTTTAAAGATATAGAAATAAACCTTAAAACAATAAGATATATTCATAAAAATGCCAGGCAGTGTATTCTTTCTATCAAATAAAACGAAAATATATCACAAAAAAGACAATTCGACTTTACAGACGGCAAAACGTTTTGAATGATCTGTTTTATTTCAATATGATGCCATTAAATGTTATAGGTTATAAAGTGCATGGCTGCTTTTCATGGAGAGTCCTAAGTCTAAAGTCTGTCCTTAGATAAAAATTGAGGCAATTTTGCGTTTCAAAGAAGGTCTTAAAAAAGGTCCTAACTTATGACTTCTTTATTAATGACCAAAGAAAATCTAGGAGTGTTTTAAAGGTATCTTAAGATTATCCTAAGTCAGGACCAATCCAAAATCAAAGATGGCAGCGTTCATTGTAGTTTTTCAAAGACGAGGCCCCTGCGCAGAGGCACTGGACGTCTATATTGACGAGGAGTTGATTTGTCGATACTGTTCACATTTCAAAGGGAATCGATCATGCAAATCACCGATACTGCGAATTATTTAATTTGACCCATGAAATATTTTGCTATATCAGTCATAAATATTTCGTTCTTGTTAGAAATAAATATGAGATATAAATATGAAAGTTGGCGGATCCAAAGCTTATATTTATTTCAAGGGACTTCTTTCGCCACTTTGTTTGAAAAAAAAGATAAATAAAAACAAATTTTTATTGAATTTTGCTTTGAAAATTGTCTAGAATGATAGAAAATTGTCTAACTAAGAAAACAAATCCAAACATCAATGTCTTTAATTCAGTCATTTCCGCTATACAGACGTTTCAAGAGTTATTTACATGACGTCACGACGTAGCGCGAAACAGCGCGTGCAAAAAAGTCAAAACAATATATTACTGCGCGCTGTACAATTGCAGTTGCGAAGCAAGCAAGAGAATTAGTGTACTGCTCGTTGTGCAATTGCAGTTGCGTAGACACTCTTGAAAATATTGCATCTGGTGTTCACTCAGTGAAATATATTTCAATCTTACATGCAAAGCAAACAAATATTCTCTATATATCAACGTCTGAAAGCTAACTATGATACTTGAAAATTAGTATTTTAATGAATTTGATTGGTATTAAGCCAACTTGTTACAAAATAATTAATCCTGAAAATGCTACTGGTTGAGGACCACTTAAACCGGACAACCACCAAATCTGGACTTGCCTGAACATGCATGATTGCGTTTTTTCTTTGTTCTGAGGTTGTTTTCCTATCAGTTGCTGTTTTTATCTACCATAAATGCATGTTTCTCCTTAGATAAAGTATTGAATTTACTTCAATGAAAGCGGTAATATTTTATGTCAAGAGGGCAATACATTACTTTTTATACTTGCTAAATCAATTGCATAATAAATCCAATGCGGGAGTATGCGCGTGCAATTGTATTTTGTAACTTTTTTCAGGCGAGCGAATAGGTGATAAGTCTTAGGTCTACGACAAAAGGTAGGACAATAACTTGAAACGGTCTTAAGTGCAAAAACTGTTTCTCCTAAAGTTAGTCATTAGTCCGAGACTAAAGGATTAACTTAGGACTCTCCATGAAACGCAGCCCAGTAAAGCTTTCGCAGTAAAAAAAATCACAGATTTATTTGCATATTCATTTCTATAAATCTAACGCATAAATAAGTAGATTTTTTCACGAGCAAACCATATTGTATATACAACATTAGCATACCATTCTATTTTTCTATTCAAAAAGAAGAATTTTAATACTTGAATATGAAGATTTTTGAAATGAGAGATTTATATAGTGTCACAAATTTATCTTTGATGTAACTAAACCATTTTGTTATGAAGCAGTCAAAATTTGGTGTTTTTTTTCTATCTTTTTAGTAGTATGTATTTCACAATTTTACCATGGTCGAGGGCCTCCTACTCTATACCGTACAATGTATATATGTATATGCGCATAATATTTGAATTATAATAACAGAAAGGAGTGCATGTATATGTATTGCACGTATTTTTATAATCATTCCACAATTCTATAATCACAAATGTTACAAATAATCAGATATGTCACAAATAATCCAAAACGAATAGAAAAGCCTTAAAAAGTTTGCAAATAATATGCTTTTGGATATTTATTCTTCTGGCTATCGGTTTTAGTTTTTTCTTAAATAATTTTCGTATACCCAGATTGTGCAGAATCTATGACATTACAATACGTCTTCCGTTTAATCATATATACTAGTAGCCTTCGTTTTGATCTTATGTTTTTCAATTATTTTTATATATTTTTCAGAAATGATTTCCCTACATATTATCTTGTTATTCGTGAATTCAAATTCTGTAAAACTAGCAAATATACAATAAGCAGTATTTTTTCTACCGCGAAAAAATAGCTGTTGTTTTTTTTTGTTTCACTGAACATTTTCAAATTTTAGGAAGGCTAAAATTATTGAGGACGTCACTCGGTGTTTGTCTTTGGCTCGATCTCCCCATCATTATAACGTAATATGTAACACTTCGAGTCTACATAAAATAAACTAATTGTCCCTTATTGAACGCTCCAAATTCCAATTATTAATATCAAATCACTGCCGGTATTTCTGGACATTTTGTTAAATTGTTGTGAGATGGAAAGATAATATGCATTAAAGAGCTCAAACTAGAAAGCGTGATTATATTCTCATAATTTACATTTTTCCACACACGAGTCTATGTTCTCTCATTAGCGAGGAACTATAGTTAAAGTAGACACTGCGGTTAGAAGCAAACCAATGCTGAACATATTGTGAATCAGTTCCCCTTGTCAGATTTGCATGGTAATGTAGTATTTTTTGGCGATTTCTAACGTCAGGTTCCTGTGGTGAAAGTTGAAAATTACGAACCTGGTCAATCTAATTATTATTTAAGAGACTTTATATATGGACGCAATTCAGACAACCACAGAATTATGTAAATTAAACATAAGCGAAGAACCTTTTATTTTAGTCTTCTAAAGCTAGTGTTCCCGTTCCATGCGACGCGTTGTGGTATTCCAGATACGCGCGCTTGATTGATAAGCTATCTAATCAAATCACTTCATTGCTCTTCTTCTCTTAAAATGAATATAAAATACGACAGTATATCATGATAATTATATGAATCTTTTGAATGTTAGAATTTACAAAGCGGTTACTGGTATTTCATTTCAAATGATTTTAATAATTTAAAACAATGGGTTGCTAGCAAAAAAAGCCTCTTTGACACTAAAGTCGTTCTCACTTTTCATTTTAATGATAACATTTAGCTATTGATCAGTAAGTATTAAGAATCATCAAATTTTTGTTATTGCCGAGTACATTTTACGCTAATTGTGAGCCGAACCCTAAATGACGTCAGTATGGACGCCGCCATTTTGACATTGTCGTCACGTCAGGTTACAACGTAACTCAACGAGAAAAATATAATTTGAATATATTGACCATATTACTGACATTTTGAAAAAAAATGCCTAGAGATATTGGCGTCAGGGTCAACATTAAAAATTAAAAAATGATATATTCAAATTCGGTGGGACAGACCATAGTGTTTCTCACAGACACGCTGTAATTATGTAATTATTCTGCTCAACCTGCCAACCGTTTCTTTGGTCTTTGGATAACTTGAAAAAGCTTTGAGATGTGGTAGCTAACGTCTAAAGGCGATGTAATGCTGTATATTTTCATTTGATTCTTTCGTAATACTTTTCATAAAATAAAAATGTGTCTTGATTTTTGTTTCTCGTCCTTTTGAAAGGTTGCGTTATTTATCCTAAAAAACGTTTAGCGTGCGTTTGGGTTCGTCAAAACGTTTAAGTACCGTATTTTGCGTCTGTTACTATTTAGAAGTAAAAAAATATCTTAGTAAGATCCATTTTGTAAATTTTTGGTTTTGAAGGATAAAAACATTAATGGTGTCATATTTATATAAATGTTTGTGACCTCATGTTGGATTTCGACGGATGTTGTCTTACTTTACGCGAAGATTAGAGTTTTAATCCTATTTTACATACACTAAGGATTAATTTACTTTTTAATTGCAACATTTTTGATATTCAATCCAGCAAACATGTGTTTATATGCGTAGCAATATATCCCATATCAGGTTATTACGACATAATTAGATGGTAATCAGACTATCCCCCCTTTCTTATTAATTAATTCATCCTTCAAGTTGATGATTCTTCAAAGGCCTACCGAAACATTTTCAAGGAGATAATTATTCTAGTCTGCATATGTGCCGACAGTTCCTTCCATTTATTTTCTAATTAACAGATCGATACTGATACAGCCTGGCAGAACTCCAATCCCTGACACTCGGAATACCATGCAGCGGCACTTCCCACTCAGCTATTTGGTCGTTAACAAGTTATGTCCCGTAATACGGAACAGTTCTAAACAGTAAAACAAATAATTTTCTGCTTTATATAAAAATTGTCCTCGAAGTTCTCAGGGTAACAGAGCCATGTGAATTAAACTCTTGGCTATATGTCAGTCACAGCAAATGTAGAGTCTGACAGGGACTCGAACCTGTGACCCTCAGAAATCCGTGTCGTGGCTCTACCGACTGAGCTGTCCGACCGTTTATACATTTTATAGGCTTAATAATTAACAGTCCTAATCCATGACAGCTAAGGTTTGATAGTTTTAAAAACAAATCAGGAAAATTGATTCCTAATTAACACGAATTGAAAAAAAACACATTCTCTTGACAAAAATTACAGTAGTAATATATTAATATAATTATGTTTTTACCAAAAAGGGACGAGACATGTTTTGATAGTACCATCATTTATACATGTATGGTGAAAACTGTATAATACATTGTACCAGTACAAAAAATAGCCTTTTGTGTATAGATAAGACAATTCTAAGGTGGCTTAGTTGTGCCATGTTGTACTTTTGCTTCGCTAGGCATTGGGCGAAAATTTTAATAACGACCAAATATTTTTGTTAATGCTTCTTGATATTTTAATGTGGTCCGATACGTCCCTTAC